TTCAAACGACTTAACGCAATAATACGCTCGCTCGCATTTAAAGATGATATAATTATGTTACTTATCGAAGGTGTTTTCAGTCTTCCGTTGTGAGAATGTGCTTATAAGTTATAATCCAATCAGAATTAGGTTTTTCCTCTTTTGCTCTTACAAATCTTTAAAAAATTTCCTCGCACACTTCGCTTGCTCACAAATGAATTTTCAGACCATCACAACCAACTGCATATCTTGTATGACGTACAAATAGAAACATATATTGTAATCATCCCTGATAATGTAATCACAATATAGGGGTATATACCAATGTCTAAACATTTTTATATTTTCGCTTAAATATTTCATTTTATAGGTGCCTTTTTTTGTTCCCCCCCCCCCCCCCCCCACAATTTGGAAGTCGCTCCGCAACCCGAAATGTTCGTAACGCTGTGACTATTCGTCATAACCAAATGACAAAACAGAAACTGCCAATTTGAGATTCGCATAGAATTAGTGATCTCCTATTTCAAACATCATAACTTTCTTATCATTGATCCGCTTTATTTCGAACTTTCGCCATTCTGTTTACCTTATTTTGTCTGAATTCACACATATTACAAGGGTAGGATCGCCCTTTAAGTATTTGCAGTCGAGTCAAAAGTCACTCAGTTTCCGTACATGCTCCCCGGCCCCGGCCCCACTCCGAGAACGGAGGGATACCATGCGTGTTACCAAAATGTCCGGTTAAAGGGGTAATTTTCGTGCGACAAAGTCCGGCCCGAGAATTGTAAAAACAAAAGGGGGGTGTATTTGACTTTTCACCCGGAGATTTCTTTAAAAAGGGGGTGTTTTTTTCTTTCTTTTTTCTCTCATCTCTTTGGACTCCTGAAAAATTATTCCGTATATAGGGGGTACATTGAGCATTTTTCTGGATTTTGGGGGTCTCCAAGGCAGGAAAAGCCCGCGAAAAGCCCGCGAAAGGGGGGTTCCGAAATGTTGGCAGTCCTCAGATAGGGGGTGCTTTCAAAAAGAGGGAACAAGCATACGCGTACCCTAAATAACACTGAGTGGGGGCCGGGACATGTTCCCGTACCCACCACTGCATTTCTTACAAATTTACGAACTCTGGCTCTTCAGTCAACATTACAACATATTTATTCATGATCAGAATCATGTCGCGCCACATGCATCGACGTATTATCCTGGGAGTTTCGATGACAAACTTCTGGGATTTTCCTGGGGTTTTAAGAAACGGGCCCCTAGCTCAGGCCTATTGGCGGCGCAAAAAAAATAGAGAAGGAAAAAAAGAGGAATGACAATAAAAGGTTCATGTAAAAGCACTCATGATTAAAGCCGCGCCCGGCCCTTACAAAGAGGAGCAGAATTGTAAACAGAAGATTTGGGATCATTCCAGAAGGCTTGGGAGACGTTATTGAATAGAAGGCGGCCGCAAAAAATCCCGAGCAGCGGATACGAAGTATTTTTCTTTTCATTTCTACAAACATGATTGTGTGCTTTCATAATTATGATTGTTTCGTAGGTTATTTTCCCTCTAAAGAGATAAGATCGTTTAATTCGTTTAATACAATTATGGAAATGCAAGCATTACTTTAAACAAAATTAACATAACTCATTTTCCTGATTGAGGTGTCATTATAATGAAAGGTCAGAAAATGAACTTTTCAGAAATGTGATTTTCTCTTTTAAATTCAGATACCGTCCGCTAAATGACTTTTTGGTACCCTGTCTTCCAGAGGCGGCGATCCCGGGGGACGGGGGGGGGGGGCGGACACGTCCCCCTTAATTTTTTTAGGGGGGATTATCCCCCCGGAAATTTCCAATAGTGCACACACAAAAATGAAGCAAATACTGACTAAAGACTGAAACAAACTTTTAGGCCCTGGAGGGCCCTTGAAGAGTACAGTGTTTAGACTAATAATAATGCACAAATCTTCTCGATCGGTCGCTAACCTCCCTCACATATTATCCTTCAAAATGTACAAGTAAATATTGTAGAAAATCTGTATTACGTTGGTATCACGTAAGCACAGTTTACACTGTATGTTTACAAGATTAAGAGTTATAGAAATAGATCAGTGCTACACAAATTCCGCTACAGTAAGGAGTCACTACAACATAGTCTACATATTTTATCAGGCTAATATTTGCCAATTCAACTCCCATAATGATATCAATATGCACGTATAATGACAGAGGCCTAGAGTGGGAAATAGACATTTTGGACATGGCACACACCACACTGCAATGCGTAATCTTCGTTGTATGAAGTAGCATTTACCGATCGAGGAAGAAGAAGAAGAAGAAGAAGAAATCCCATCCATTCCCAAGCTACTTAGTACTTACTTATATTTACCTACTAAACTGATTTTTACAACCCTTGGGCTTTGCCCACCCCCCAATAAAATTCAAACGCTTTTCTCACTTTTTTGTAAATTATACTTTTGCATGCGTTTATGGAATATGACCAATTCCCAAATTATCAGTCAAGCGAAACATATGCTTAATTAGAAGCCTGCATGTCAGGGTCCGCGGATATCGCTGGGGTCTGGGGGTTTGAGCCCCCCCCCCCGGCCCCTCACTTTTTCGAAAAAGTATGTTGAAGAGAAATAGAAAGATAGAAGTGTCGTGGTCGAGTGGTTTAAGGCGCTTGACTGTAGATGCGAAGGTCGAGGGTTCGAATCCCGACACGGCATTAATATCCTTTGGCAAGATATTTACCTGCACTTGCTACTCTCCACCCAGGTGTTAAATGGGTACCCGGTAGGATGCGAACGTTCATGTGGTTGGACGAGCAAGTGTGCGCTTGTAAAATGGCGACTGGCTGGAATGCTCCCCCCCCCCCCCCCCCATGCAGGGAGTGGAAAATGTGCACACACTGTGTGCGGGTAAGCCTGAATCCGATGACCGGGGTAATGATATTTGTAAAGCGCTTAATTAGGCACATCGTTGGATCGGTGTATTGAGCACTATATAAAAAACGGATTATTATTATAGAAAGAAAGGAAAAATAGTAAACTGCCAGAGTCACAAATGAGGTATCAAAATATACTCATCTGACCGTAATTAAATGCCTAAAACCCCTAAGCTTGCGGGGGCTCTGCCCCCTGGACCCCACAATGGACCCTAAGTCGGGCCCCTGTATGCTCATCTGACTGTAAATGCATAAAACCCCTCTGCCCTCCGGACCCCACGAAGGGCCCTTAGGCGGGCCCCTGGATGCTCATTTGACCTTTATTTAATGCCTGAAAAACCTGAGCTTTATAGCTAGGGGCTCGATCCCCCACGCAAGTTACCTGCGAGTGTCACAAACAAGATATCAAAATATGCTCATCTGACCGTATATGCCTAAAACCCCTGAGCTTCTGGGGGATCACCTTAACCCCCGCCGGAGCTTTGTCCCTGGACCCCATGTAAATTTATGCTCCACTCGCTTCGCTCGATCGCTACGCTCTACCTGATCATTAATACTTTAGCCCCCCCCCCCCTGTCCCCAATCCCCACAACGTTTTGGCTTGGCCCCTCGTCCCCGTCCCTGCTAAATTGATTTTAATCATTCATGCGTGAACTATGCATTATATTAGTTGCATCAAATTAAAAAAGAGGAAGATCTAAGCTTTAGGCCTACAAATACGTGTCATTTATTAATCATATTAATTGTGATTAAGTTATGATAAAACATCGATAATTCTCGGTTTTGTTTTTTTCTGGGACGCACTTTGCATGCTAGCTCATATCCTTCTCAGTGCTCAATGTTTTTACTCTAGCTGCATGGTGTCAACTTTTGTTAGGTATCACTAGTGGAAAATTTAGTAATAACCCTATTAAAGCTGATTACTTCTAACAAGTGTGTCGATTGATGAGTAGGCCTATCAGGGGCGGCGATTTCTTTTCATGACCGGGGGGACGAAATGCGAGGAACGAGGGAGGAGTGACGTAATGAGCAAAAAAACGTTTATTTGGGGGGGGGGGGGAAGAAAAAATCTGCATCATTACCGCTCTTACATGTCACATAATTTATGGAGGCCCCGCGGAACGTTTTTCAGAGTGGGAGGGGGGCTAAAGTATTTGCGATCAGATAGAGCAAAGCAGTTAAATGGGGTGTAAATTTGGCGTGGGTCAAGGGGCGGAGAGAGTTTTTAGGCATTTAATAAGGGACAGATGAGCATATTTTGATACCTTATTTGTGACACTTGCATGCAGGTCACTAATCGGAGTGGGGTCCAGGGGGCGAAGCCCCCAGAAGCTCAGCGGTTTTAGGCATTTAATTATGGTCAGCTGAGCAACTAGGGGCCCGCCTTAGGGTCCTTCGTGGGGAACAGGGGCAGAGCCCCCGGAAGCTCAGGGAAAATCATGCCATTTCAGTAACATTTGTAAATTAGTCACTGGTGTAGAATTAGAAGTAAACCACGTTTGAATTTTATCGGGGAGGGCCGGAGGGGGGGGGGGGGGTAGGGGGAACTGCCCAAAGCACGGGTGAGTGAGCATAGTGAACGAGAGCTAGGGGTGAAGGTGACGAAAGTGACTATCCCGTTACAGGTTTTGAAGTTTTGTTGTATTACAAAATTATATTCCTTAGCAAAACAGTATGAAAACAAATAATATACTTTTTTCACACTTCACTTTTCTACAATATTTACTTGTACATTTTGAAGGATATTATGCGAGGGAGCATAGCTCCCGAGCCAGAAGATTTTTGCATTTTTATTTGTCTAAATGCTGCACTCTTTGGCCCTCCAAAGTCTAATAGTGTGTTGCAGTCAGTATTATTTTGCTGCACATGATTTTTTTGCACTTTTTCAAATTTTCCGGGGGGGACGGGGACGATCCCCCCTTACAAAAATCGAGTGGGGGACGTGTCCCCCCCCCCGTCCCCCCCCCCCGGGATCGCCGCCCCTGAGGCCTATAGACTTATCAAATTTGAACATATTAAATTGTATTTTTTTTAAAAATCACATCTCCCTGCGTACACGTACACCGTTTTCATCAGCAATATCGATAAAACAGGACTACATTCGTAGACTAAGCATCAGCTGATTATAGTGTGGGTCCCCTATTTGCCAAAAGACAAGGCACCCGCATTGATTGTCCGTAGAGTATGCATCCAGTATATCGTGCATGACCATCTCGTCGCGTCGCTATCTGAATCGAGCTCGAGCAAGCTGGAGACTGGAGACTGGAGACTGTGTGTTGTGCACTTCAAGATAGGGAAGGATGAATTTACATTAACGGAGCAGATATCTAATCATAATTATACCGGTAAGTTTAAGCGCTGGTAATTCTCCGGATTCTTCCTCAATTAGACTCTAACACTAGTTTACTTCTTTTCTATTCAATACGTAACTCCGGGAAGCTCCAACACCGGCGCCGCAGCTTCCCGGAGTTATTCAATACGCAGCCATTAGCATTGACTCTCTTAGACAGCAATAACCATCTGATTTGGGTCATTTCTTTAATAAAACTGACATTTGTTACTGCTTCGCGGATCTGAGATACAAATTGGATAATTCATATAAGTAAGTCCGTAAATTATGTATTTAATATTAAGTTGTCAAATTTTGATAACTGTAATTAGGACAAATGACATAGTCTACCGACCTAATTTACATCTGATTTAGAAATCAGAAAATTAGATCTAGAGTCTAGGCCTAGACTAGATCTAAATAAAGAAAATCGGGGAGAAAATGTTTTGACAGAAAAAGCTGCCATTGTTGGCTATAGCTACCCCCACGGTACGAGATCTCTGGGTTGCCATCTGTATTGGGGAATGACAACAAATGTCAGTTTTATTAAAGAAATGACCCAAATCAGATGGTTATTGAGGTCTAGTGGAGCCAGACGTAGTCTCAGTGGAACAACCGACGATTAGAGAGACTGAAGTTTTCGGTCTATGACTCTCTATGCTTTGCTGGAGTGCTTCTAACTGTTAGACCTAGACCTCTATATTGCTACTTGTCCAACCCCCCCCCCCCCCCCCACTCAGTGTTATTTAGGGTACGCATATGCTCGTTCCCTCTTTTTGAAAGCACCCCCTATCTGAGGACTGCCAACATTTCCGAACCCCCGGGCTTTTTGCGGGCTTTTCCTGCCTTTTCCTGCCTTGGAGACCCCCCTAGACCTAAATCAGGAAAAATGCTCAATGCATGTATACCTCTACCCCCCTAAATTCAGAATAATTTCTCAGGAGTCCAAATAGCCTAGGCGGAGTGCCGAGCTTTTTTCTTTGCTGCTAGACTTACCTTAAGCAGAACGTCTGATACGGCGAGACTACGAACCGTGAGCCGCGAAGCGGCTCACCGCCTATAATCACTGGTCTAGCTAATCAATATTCATATTCAAAATGGCGGATCTATGAATCATTCAACAGCCCTACCAAATAAGGTACACTTATGTTACGTTCGACCAATCATAGAATCTGTGGTCGCGTAGAAAATCACAGCACAAGGGGATTGCTTGGTATATTGCACTCTTTCCAAAACCAGTAGGTAAGCAACAAAAATATCCCTGCCGGCTTCAATAACGCTACGAATAGCGGATTCCTGCAGTTCTCTGAATTTTCCATTAGGAATGCCTAGTTTGTTGGCCGCATATGATAAACTTTCTCGCAGAAGATCGTCGTCGCATGAACTACCCGCCATCTTGGATGAAGAAAATGACGTAATGTCACATGATTTATAATATGCATATGCATAGACTCTTCTCCATACGTGTTTCTGATTGGTTGAGTTCATTTCGTATTCATGAGGTTTTTTCGTACGAAAAACTGCCACGGATTCATGGTCGATAATAAAAAAACAACGACTAAAGCTAGACCAGTGATTATAGGCGGTGAGCCGCTTCGCGACTCACGGTTCGTAGTCTCGCCGTATCAGACGTTCTGCTTAGGGTTAGTCTAGCAGCAAAGAAAAAAGCTCGGCACTCCGCCTAGATTATAGGCTAGAGTCCAAAGAGATGAGAGAAAAAAAAAAAAAACACCCCCTTTTTAAAGGAATCTCCGGGTGAAAAATTAATACACCCCTTTTTTTACAATTCTCTGGCCGGACTTTGTCGCACGAAAAGTACCCCTTTACCGGACATTTTGGTAACACGCATGCATGGGGTCATTCCGACCCCGGAGTGGGGGGGCCGGGTGTCAAACAAGCCTGTTTAGCATCAAGACAAGGCCAAGGGTGATCTTCTAGACCTCTAGATCTATTTGTATTACTAGTTTTAGTTTACTACACTCCAGTAAAGCATAGATTCTAGAGAGTCATAGACAGAAATAAACATCTGATATATTATGGGTCATTTCTTTAATAAAACTGACTTTTGTATGTTATATAGTAGACCTAGAAATACTAGAGGCGGTCAGAGGAGCCAGATGCAATGTCAGCGGAACGACCGACGATATCAGAGACTGAAGCTTTCGGTCTAAGAGAGTCAATGCTAATGCGTATTGACCTCTAGCACTGCACTATGTGTTAATAGGCAGAATTGCACTCACAAATAGTCCATACACACACATAACAGTTTAACACACAAATGTACGCAATAAAGACGATGTGGCTGATCGGCAAGTTTGACAGTAGACCAAATTTTTCGGTCTAGTTTGACAGTAGACTCACGATTTGAACTTTTCAACTATTCTTTCTAATATCGGTAAGTTGAAAAAGTTATATTTTACTGCTATTTAGGTGTCATCAATCGTCACTAAAGTACCGATTTTGAGTGAAACCAGTTGAGTTTGGTGTTCGAAATTTTGAGAATAAATAGCTCAGCTTTTCATAGGGTGTCTGAACGATTATTCAATTTTCAATTTGGGATCGTTTTTCACCATTTTTGTTTGATATTTGAATTAAAAATGTAATCAGAATAATACATTTCAAATTTCAAGTCTCACTGATGTTTCTACCAAAAGATACAGCCCCTTCGAAACGCTGCAATATTCATAGTATTTTGATCAGAATCGACGAAAAAGACGTACACGCAGAGTTATGTTGTTTTGCTAATTTAGCCAAACAGCTGTATCGCGCAATATGCAAGCATATGCATAGCGTACGCATGTCATGCGCAACTTGCAGCTTGAGCCTCGTTGTCTCAGCGATATTTGCCATTGACTAGTATGGCTAGCCGTTCGTACAATAGTACCCGGAAGTGATTACACGTTATAGTCAATGGCAATATCGATAACGGCTATCCATACTTTCATTCACAATACGCGCAGATGTTACGCGATGTATACTACAGTGTATGGTTTGGACTGAGCAGAGCTCACGCCTCCCTAATTAGCTAATTCAAAATATGTGGGAAGGGTATTTTCAAACCGTTGTGCCAAATGATCCCTTGGGTTAGCGAAAAAAAAAGCACCTGGATATTATTTTAAAGCCGCGCGGGGGGGGGGGGGGGGGGGGGGGGGGGCTCAGGAAAGTGGCCTGTTAAGCATCTAGACAAGGCCAAGGGTGATCTTCTAGACCTCTAGATCTATTTGTATTACTAGTTTTAGTTTACTACACTCCAGTAAAGCATAGATTCTAGAGAGTCATAGACAGAAATAAACATCTTAAATGGGTCATTTCTTTAATAAAACTGACATTTGTATGTTATACAGTAGACCTAGAAATACTAGAGGTGGTCAGAGGAGCCAGATGCAATGTCAGCGGAACAACCGACGATATCAGAGACTGAAGCTTTCGGTCTAAGAGAGTCAATGCTAATGCGTATTGACCTCTAGCACTGCACTATGTGTTAATAGGCAGAATTGCACTCACAAATAGTCCATACACACACATAACACAATGATCCTTTGGGGCTAGCGAATTTTTTTTATTATTTTAAAGCTGCGGGGGGGGGGGGGGGGGGGGGGCGGGGGGCGGCTCAGGAAAGTGGCAAATTTTGGAGCTAGGATGCAAACAACATTTCAATCGCTGATTTGACCAAGATATTTTTAGAATTCCGGGGGGTGGCCCCCTATGGGAAATATGGAGAAAACCCTGCTCTTTTATATGACACCTCATTTATTGAGTTTCACCTTCAGGATCACGAGGCCTAAAGGTTTGAATTTCAAATTTGTTCATAAAATCATTGACCAATTTTGCATGGTCGCGCAATGCACGTAGACCACATAGGGATGCGTGCAATCTCTATTGGGAGCATTTTAGCACACAACATCAGGTGCGCGATCAGACACCCTACTTTTAATACACAGCCAGGATAATAATGCAGCTATGTGTGGTTTACTATAGGTCTACTACTAGTACTAGACATCTAGATATCTACTATTAAATTTATTAGTAGGGGTCTAGTTTAAAAGTACTGTTACTTGATAGGCCTACTGTATAGAGTTTAGACCTACTAGTAGTAGTGTAAATACTGTGTTGTTAGTGTTACTGTTAGCATTACTAGATCTAGTCTATACATACTTATAGACAGAAATAACCGTCTGGTATGGGTCATTCTTTAAGACTGACATTTGTCAACATTCACTGTCGGAGAAGCCAGATGAAATCTCAGCGGAACTATTAACCGTCGACATCAGAGACTGAAGTTTTCGGTCTATATTATACTGGTCTACTGTTAAGTAATGTGGCGCTCAACTGTGACCATACTATAATTTGGACCCGTAACTCCAGCGTGGAGATACCCTAGTACAAGTAGACAGAAATAACCATCTGATATGGGTCATTTCTTTAATGAAACTGACATTTGTTGACATTCCCCAATACAGATGGTACTCCAAATGTCTAGCACCGTGGGGATAATCTAGAGCCGGAGCAGAACATCTTTTCAAGCGCGTAGCCAGGATTTCATTTTAGGGGGGGCGGTAGTGAGCACGCAAAGCGTGCGAATCACTTTAAGGGCGCGCGAAGCGCGCTCCCTAGGGGGGTGGGTGCAGGGAGGGGGGAGTTTCTTTGAAAGAAGACGATTCGTTGTACCTTTCTCGACTCGTAATCCTTGTCTGAATTCAGTCCCTCCCCCCTCTTGCGCGAAGCTTTGACGTTTCATTATATTACTAGAGAAAGGAGACGATTCGTTGTACCTTTCCTGACTCTTAATCCTTATCTGTATTCAGTCCCCCTCCCTCGCAAGGCGCGGTAGCTTTGAAAGAAGACGATTCGTTGTACCTTTCTCGACTCGTAATCCTTGTCTGAATTCAGTCCCTCCCCCCTCTTTCGCGAAGCTTTGACGTTTCATTATATTACTAGAGAAAGGAGACGATTCATTGTACCTTTCCCGACTCTTAATCCTTAATTTGAACTCAGTCTCCCCCTTCCCGCGCGAAGCGCGGAAGCTTTGACGATTCGTTGTACCGTTCTCGACTCTTTTTCCCTCTTTCTTCCTTCGTCCTCTTTCTTTTTTTTCTTCTCTTTCTCTCTCTCTTTTTTTTTTGGCCGGCGTTTTGGGGGGGGCGACCGCCCCCACCGCCCCCCCCTGGCTACGCGCCTGCATCTTTTCATTCCCGACATTTTCTCCCCCGATTTTCTTTATTTAGATCTAATTTTCTGATCTATAAAGCAGATAGACAAATACTATGTACATGTACTTGTATACTCCTATCTGGAGTAATTAAATTTTGATTATCTATTTCTAAATGAGAAATTTACGGACTTACTTATATGAGTTACCGTATCCAATTTTTATCTCAGAACCGTGAAACAGTACGTTCATCCATTCGAACTATTAATGACATGACCCGGCGGCCGATATATTTCCAGGTCAATCTACCAAAACATAGCCAATGGCCAATCGGAGCACTCGTTTAATATTAGATTTACGAATATTCATATATCACTGGGTCAAGCCGGGCTGACTAGTACGTAGCTATTGGACGTTCAAAAAGAAAAAATGAATATTCATCAACTAAAACCAAGATGGATGACAAGTAATTATGTTGACTACAAGACTTTCTTGGATTAATCATTAATTTAGGATCTAAATGAGCAAGCTATCGTAAGTCAAATTGGCTTTATATATGTTATTTTTATTTTTTAATATAATTATTGTAATATTGCAGCATTTATGAGGATGTATTACATGGTGTACCACAAGGTTCAATCCTAGGTCCTCTACTGTTTTTTAATTTACATTAATGATCTTACACATTCAGCTGCACCTCGCAGTTAAATGAAAGGCCTTCCCGTGTGGGTTTTATAACATGGACCTGGCTTGCTGCCGACAGAGTCGGCCCACAATTTTTTTTTTTTTTTTTTTTAGGGGCGAAAAAGAGGGGATGCGGTTAATACACGAGGGCGGTTTATACAACGTTAATTACGGTAGCTGTTTTGTGTCAATTGTCTTACCTTTTTTTTTTTTTTTACTGTAGTGCACCCTGCCTGGTTGTACTATACTACTACAAAAGTACTAGCTTGATTTCTTGAGAAGTTTTACACAGAAAAATGTAACTTCTCTGAAAATGAATTGAATTATACAGTTGTTAGCTACAGTGTACATCTCTTTGTAGCAACATTTCTAACAGATCATAGTCATATACCATGCCATTGTTTCTCCTGAAGTCCTAATAGTAATAAGTGACCGGCCATAGTTCGCTGTCTGCGTGAAGTAAATTAGTGTGAAGAAATTTTCCTGCTTTTTTCTGCCCTGACCTGTCCATGGACCTGTCCTAATTCCTCTCGCTCGCTATTATCTTGAAAGTGGACCTTAAGAGTCAGCTCACGCAACTCATTTAATACCCAAGAAAGATCCATCTTGATAGACTTTTTGTCAATTACATGTAGCTAAATATGTATATTCTCTAGGGGGGAAAATCCAGTTACTGCCTTTGAAAAATTAATGCAACATGTCGTATTAAATGTCCTTTTTTGTTTTAATGGTGTAATCCGTCAAACCTGAATGTTGCCCTTGGATGAACGAATGAAAATCAAGGATTAACTTTGTTTTACTCTTTATTTCAATTCAATGATCAATACTAAAAAAACTGGCCAAATTCTGAAAACTTGTTGTTCTTATGTACCTTGAATACCTTGAATACCAAATCTTCTGAGAGAAAGCTGTCTCCAGCTGCCAAGCGCTTTCAGGTCTAACTTCAGGGGAGGGGGGATGTCCCAGCTTCCGGACTTTGCACCATGGTCATTTTACTTCTGTCTCTTGCTTGCTGGGTCATATCAGGATTGTCATAATTCATAATTAGGAGTGTCTACTGGGAGAAGGGTGAATTACATTGGTCATTCTTCCAGTGTTTGTCAAGTCTGGCTTCAAAGCTTTTCACCGAGGTTGCAGATACTACCGACTAGTACTGAGTCAGGGAGGGAGTTCCAGTTGTTGAGGACTCTGTGGCTGAATGAATCTTGCCTGAGTTTGGTGTATTGCACCTGGGTTTGGTTAGTTTGAAAGCATGCCCTCTCGTTGTTGAATTGATTGCAGGTGTGGAGAATTGGGTACAGTCCAACCTGTCAATGCTTTGCATCAACTTAAACACCTGAATCATGTCTCCTCGGTGGCTGCGGTGACATGAGCCAGGGAATTAAGCTTCAAACTTTCAGCCTCTCATGGTAGCTTTGGTGTTTTTCATTATCTCTAGTACCATTTTTGTTGCTCTTGTTTCTATTTTCTCCATCAATTGTTGGTCCTTCACATAGCAAGGGTGCCAGATTTTGAAATAGAGCATTTCTTTTAGGAAAAGATGCCTAACCCAAGGTACTGGAGCTGTTCCATGATCATGTTACGTTAGGGGTGCATATATATGCTGTAACTGCTTGCTAACTGACTGACATGCAGGAGCGGAGATCGATGGGTAGCGTACATTGTATACAAATTGGTATAATAATTATCTCCTGAAGTTTAAGATCCTGACAGGCTGTAGGTTATTTGTGCTGCTATGGAGCAAAATATGTTGTCTTTGCTGTTTGATTTACTTCTTTGTTTGAGGAGAAAGAAAAAGTATAGTGCAGAGAATAGAGCTTGCTCTAAAATACTCTCAGAACACGTGACTAAAATATTATAAATTTCACAACCAAATTTTAGCTTTCTTTCTTTTCTTTTTTGATAAACATAATTATAAAAATGAAATTGATAAACATAACAATAAAATTGATAAACATAACAATAAAATTGATAAATATATAAAAATAAAATTGATAAAACATAACAATAAAATTGATAAACATATAAAAATAAAATTGATAAACATAACAATAAAATTGATAAACATAACAATAAAATTGATAAACATAACAATAAAATTGATAAACATATAAAAATAAAATTGATGAACATAACAATAAAATTGATAAACATATACAAATAAAATTGATAAACATATAAGAATAAAATTGATAAATATATAAAAATTAAATTGATAAACAAATAAAAATAAAATTGATGATAATAGTAAGTAGATTCCTTTAAAGCAAATTATAGTCATACTATAGAGTAGACCCCCTATTTTAGTTTTAGTCTAATTTTTTGAATGCCATTTCATTTTTTTGTTCCCACCTTTTTCCTCTAGATCTCTCATCTCTTGGACAAGAAAGCTTTTGTTCATAAGAAACTTAAGCCAAAGCCCAAAGACAATATTGTAAAATGGGGATTGTCTCCGGCCCCAGCCGATTCACCAGCAATGGCATCAAGATTTCTCTTCCTGCGGCAGTCACTATTACGTCTTGGATCATAATCTTGGGGTTCATGCTGAGCATTCTGTGTGCTGTACTCATCAACTTTGAAGATACTACAGAGACTCATTGTCATGTGAGTATTGATCTGATTGGTCTAGTATACTAATATTGACAGTTTTTAAAAACTATTGCCCAAGATGATCTAAAAACTGTACTGTGACCTAAGACAATATAGTCGAGGCCCATAGTGCAGTCTCAAGATCACCGAGAAGCTATAGTTTTACCCATAGCCCCCCAAAAGAGGCTGTCAATATTTGTTTTATATAAATGTACCGCATCCCCATGTCAATTCTCAATAATTACAATTGTTTGTAGAGCCTAGGGAAATTTACTTGTCTAAGAGCATTGCATGTATCTCACTGCGCGTATCCATTGTTAACTTCATGCGCAACCATATACCGGTATGTTCTTACGTTGTACGCGCAAGCAGAAGTATGCCTGGTCAATTTGTTTGCTTTACTGCCCAGCAGTCAGCGTGTTTCATGCCTGCAGTTACATGTATGACTAATCAGATCGAGGCCTAGAATCTTTATATGCACTGGTACATGTAGTCCTGTACAAACAGCTGTTTGTCTGGTGAGGGTGCAGGTATTATACATCTTGTCATCTCAGTCTACATCTGTCTGCATCAATAATGAGTGGATAAATGAATAGTGAATTAATGGGCGGGTGAAAAAATATAGATGAAAGGGTGGATAGAAGGAGGTAAATAATAGATGGTTGGATGGAAGAGTGTTTTTTTGACAGCCATTTACACTACTGGAAAAACCCATTAATTTTTTTTTGATGTTTGCTCATTCTGTGCCTTTATTGTACGGATTGGGAGTATCTACAGGTCATGCAATGCAACCTCACATGATTAACAATTTAACAGGTTGATACAATCACAGAGTATATTAACTGTTGTGTTGGAACTTACCATACCACATAAGGTAATAAAGGTCATTCCTAATATAGCAAACCATGGTTCATAAAAGAGTTCAAGAATTTGATCAAACAAAAAAAGAATTGCAGTGTATCAATGTAATGATGTATTGTAGCAGAGAGAGCTACATGTACATGTATATACAAAAGAAGATCGATCAACTAATTATACAATTGATGTAACAAGGTTCAAAACGACAAAATTGAAAAGGGTTTCCGAGATAATGATACGAATCTGCTTGGAAAACTTTGCAAAACTTGATAGGATATCTATAGACAAAAGAAAAACCTACCTAATGTTCAATCAAAAGAAATTGTTGAGGCTGGGCCTAACAAAAATTACTGCAGATTTGATGATAAAGAATGCAGGTGAAGGAACAAAGATCTTGTTGCTATTTTGCATTCTAACGTATAAGAGGATAATAATGAGAATAACCTTTATGTAACAGAGCACAATACTGAGAAGGATGTTTGCTAGTCTTGCAGTGTCTTGCAGTAACAATGTTCTTCATAGTTTATAGAGACCAACTTGCATACTGTGTCTTATACATGTAGGTCAAGGCATTGTACCAACTTTGAGGAAAACCTTGGTTTAACTTTTAGGCAAAAAGAGGTCATTATTTGTCGAAAATTTCTTGAAAATCTGCAAATAAGGGGTAATTTTGGACTCCGCTAATGATCATGTGTTACCCCTTTGAATATGAAGTTACGCAGCAAGGGTGTAATGCTAACACCATGGAGAGCTTTTAAGTAAGAGCGAGTATGTGAGTCACTGCTTTAGTAAATGGATTAAAATTGTAAGATTTTAAATATCATACTGCTTTCTAACTGGCTTCTATCGGAGTCACACCAATGAAAATACCGATTGAATTTTCCTTATGTAAACAAAGGTGAAACTGCAGTTTTCCCCCTGTCGCTTTCTAACTGCCGATGAAATTCTCTCGCTGTGGCGAGCCCATGCTGGAAGTGAAGAATTATTGCGTAATTATTAAGCCCGCGCTCCATCTAGCTAGCATGCAGCATGTTCAACCATAAGTCAACAAACACAGCTGGTTACGATAAAGCGCGCGTATACTGCAACCTTTGACCATTTTAATCGCTGTTTTAATCGCCTTTTTCTCCCGAACGATTTCTAACTGGCTGTTTCATCGGTGGCACACCGATAGAATGAGAATTTCTCCTGCTCTTGAGCAGGAGAATTTAATCGCCTATTTCTCTTTTTTTCATCGGCTATTTAATCGCCTTTTTCTCCTCTGTTGCTTTCTAACTGGCAGTTTCATCGGATGCGTCCGGATGCATCCGATGAAAATCAGTGCAGTTAGAAAAGGGTATAAGTTAGAGGAGGCTATGATGTTCTTCTGAGAATGAGGGAAAAGAAAGGGTTCAGGGAAGAGAAAAGGAACATAAAAAAAAGAAATTGAGTTGGCTATTAGCAGTAGGAACATGATGTGATGATGTGTATGCTGCACAGTGTACATGTCTAGAGCACATTAGGCATAGTTAATTATGGACTCATTGCATTACTGCCACAGGAAATAAGACCTCCAAGCCCAAATTTGTAAATGTGTATCAAAATAATTTAGTAATTGATCAAAATGCCAGTACCCCAGTAATCATTAACATCCTGTAAAAATCAGGATGTACATCATGAGGTGACATTGTAAGATTATACAGAGCTGCCAACCATTACGTTTTTCCCGGAATTATTTCGTTTTTATGCCCCCGCCACCGAAGGTGGTGCCGGAGGCATCATGTTTTCGGGGTTGTCCGTCCGTACGTCCGTGCGTCCGTCCCGTTTGACCGTTATCACAATATCTCAAGAACCATTTAAGATTTAAACTTAAGACTCGGGAATAGTATTTATCACCATAGGAAGACGATCTGATTAGATTTTGGAGTACGGAGGTCAAAGGTCACAGGTCACAGAGGTCAACTTATGAAATTCCTTGTATTGAGTTTGTTAGCGCAATATCTCAAGAACCATTTGAGATTTAAACTTCAAACTTAAGGATAGTATGTATCACCATAGGAAGACGATCTGATTAGATTTTGGAGCACGTATGTCAAAGGTCAAGGGTCACAGAGGTCAACTTATGAAATTCCATACATTGAGATTGTTATCATGATATCTCAAGAACCACTGGAGATGTAAAAACTTCAAACTTAGTGATAGTATGTATCACCATAGGAAAACAATCTGATTACATTTTGGAGCACGTAGGTCAAAGTTCAAGGGTCACAGAGGTCAACTTATGAAATTCCATACATTGAGATTGTTATCATAATATCTCAAGAACCACTGGAGATTTAAACTTCAAACTTAATGATAGTGTGTATCACCATAGGAAGACAATCTGATTAGATTTTGGAGCACGTAGGTCAAAGGTCAAGGGTCACAGAGGTCAACTTATGAAATTCCATACATTGAGATCGTTATCGCGATATCTCAAGAACCACTGGAGAATTTTCACTTCAAACTTAATGATAGTATGTATCACCATATCATAATATCTCAAGAACCACTGGAGATTTAAACTTCAAACTTAATGATAGTGTGTATCACCATAGGAAGACAATCTGATTAGATTTTGGAGCACGTAGGTCAAAGGTCAAGGGTCACAGAGGTCAACTTATGAAATTCCATACATTGAGATTGTTATCATGATATCTCAAGAACCACTGGAGATTTAAACTCCAAACTTGTTTAAATTGCTCTATGGCGGAGGCATCATTTTCGACTGCGCGCAGTCAAAATTCCATCTAGTTTTTTCTTGAAATAACAGAAGTACTTCTTTTCTTCATAGAATCCTCTTTTTTCTGGTTGTTGCACATACCGCACGTTAACCAAATGCCCTAAAATGTTGATCACTACTTCAATAGAAAACTTCATAAATAGAGATTTATGAAGACTACCAATTTACAATTAGTAAAAAAAAAGATAAAGGGAAAGGCTAAAATATTTTCAAAAAGAATGAAACGCTGATAATCTGAACTAAAAAACAACTAACTAGCGACTGCAGTCTTTACACATTTTTTCCTCTACTCCAATTTTCCTGGTCGTAGTCATTTGTTCTATAACCTTTCCTGTTATCTTCACTTCCCTGCAGGTCCCAAATTTCCTCCCCTCTTTTAGCGCAGCCATTGCCACAGCACCCTCATCCTACATATGGCGGCTGACAGTGACGCTGAGTTCAGCCCAGAGAGTGACTGCAGTCTTCGGTCACTACTCCCTCTACTCTAGCCTACCCGATTCCACAGGATTATATCAGTTTCTATGTCAGCTGTGTGCGGTACTAGAGATGACAGAGAACCTGGCCCTCATTGGGCTCACATGTGTGTCATCAAGAGAGTTATATGGTGGGTAGTAAACGACATGTGCGCCGATGAGCATGGCACCGTGGTCTATTTCATACAATGGTTGTTAAAGTTTCTTTAACCCTGGCTCCAACACTGGCTCTAACCCTACCCCAACTCTATGATAAATCCCAATGGCAACCCTAAGGGTGAACCCCAATCCTAACTTTGACAAAATAACAGAGCAAATGCCTCTGAAGCATGTATCTGATCACTGGATAGCCAGTGTAAATATTTTTTTGTTTATCAAAGTATACATTTGGGATATTTAACGGTCAAATTTACATTTCCTTGTGGAAATTTTGAAATTGTGTTCGTTTGTTGTTGTTGTTGTTGTTTTGTTTTTTTCCAGAGCTAAATTACCTCTAGTTTCATATTTTGTTCTTGTACATTTGACAAATACATGTTTATGGAGGATTACCATAGTACTCTTTTAGTATAAATCATATTGAAAATGGTCTAATTTGGTATGTAACAGCAAGAAATATACAATAAATTTTAAAAATAAACACCATGTACATGTAGGTTGTCATGAAAAGGACCATTAGGATTTTTGGGCAAAGTCCTTTAAAGGACTACCCATGTGTTACTTTTTTTAAATTTATGTATTTCTAGCTGTTCCACCATGCAAACCTACAAATGTCTTAGTTATCATAAATAACTAAATTGCACTCAATTGTTTTAGTTCAAATTTCTTTTCTCTTTTTTTTCTGCAGAAATTCATGAGATGTTTTTTATAACGTTCCAAGCCAGTTCCATGTTGTACATGATGTTTATGTGCCTCCTATTCCGAATGGCAACAAACCTTGGTCCAGCACCCACTGAAGGAGTAAGCATGCCTCATTTCTACCTATTTTCTGTTTATATTTTATTTACAGCTATATTAAAAGACTCCATGAGCTACACCTATGTCATTGCAAACGATGTCAGACACATCATTTGTTAAGGTTGTATGGTGCATATTTGCATTTTGCTTATGTGCCTTAAAGGTTAAGACAAGTATTGGAAACGCCCCAACGTCAAAAAAATGAAATGGAAGCTCTCGTTACCAATCATGTGAAAGAATATGTTTTGACTAATACATTATGATAACAATTTTGCTAGGAAACCGCCTACTAATTGATATATTTGGTAAATTAGTTTATCTATTGAGATGTGACAGATATAACGCACGTGTCGCGCACGTGTCGCGCACGTGTGCATAATCCCATATACATCTTTTTTGTGTACGGTGCTTGTAACTTTACCAAGACTGGGTCAAATTTCTTTTCATTTTGATGATTCCAGAACCTTGCAGTACACACCAATACTTATATGCTAGATGATCAACCTTTTCTGATAGATTCCACAATGTTTCTTTCACAATGCAATCGCATGACCAGAGCTGATCTTATCTTTAAGATGACTACTTAGAATTATAGCTTTAAAAGAACAGGAATAACATCTATTCTGCTCAAAAAAGAATTTAGCTACTAGAGAGAGAGCAGCATGATACACTGTACGCATATCTGACTCTCCTTACTTACATGTACCTGATATATAAGTGGTAAATTAATCTTTCTTCCCTTTTATGACAATGTTTTGTTTACATGTCAACACTTATAGTTAGTATTTCTTGCTGATTTCATGTAAAATAAGGCAAGATATATTATGCACCATTCATTTCAATGGGTTCAAGTCCCACCACCGCCACCATGTAAAAATAAGTGGATTGGTTACATCTCATCTCATAACATCACAACTTATTGTCCTGTGGTTTGAAAGTGGGAGCACATTGGTGAAGGCTCTTGAATCTCATATTTAGGTTCTTGGTTTGATCTCCGCTCAGTGCTTGTAGTTCTTGGACAAGGTATTTTGCTCACATTTGTTCCTCCCTACCCAGTTGTAAATGGGTACCAGGCAATGCTGGTGTAATAATAATTGCAGGCCCTACATATGTGTTCTAAAGTGACTACCTGACTTAAATGATACCAATAGAGTACCGAAGCTGTGACATCATAAAAATCTATTTTGAGAATTTCTCAATTTTTTCTTCATTTTCCAAAAGAGCAACAAAAATCATGTCTGAATGTCGAAAACCAATTGAATATGTTAAGTATTGGCTGAGATGTGACCATCTGAATAAGTAGATGTTCTATTGGAACTCAGTGTTATGTTACTCTGGCTCGTAACGTTATCACCCAGAGCAATATAACACTGAGTTGCTATAGGAAATCTATTTATTCAGATGGTCATAGCTCAGCCAATACTTAAAGGTAAAGACCAGTATTGGAAACGCCCCAATTTCAAAAAATGATATGGAAGCTCTTATTACCAATCATGTGAAAGAATATGTTTTGACTAATACATGATGATAACAATTTTGCCGGGAAACCGCCTACTAATTGATATATTTGGTAAATTAGTTTATCTACATGGTCTGTGAGAGATAAACGCACGTGTCGCACACGTGTGCGAATAGTCCCATATACATCTTTCTGTGTACAGTGCTTGTAACTTTACGAAGACTGGGCCATATTTCTTATCATTTTGATGATTCCAGAACCTTGCAGTACACACCAATACTTATATGCTAGATGATCAACCTTTTCTGATCGATTCCACAACGTTTCTTTCACAATGCAATCGCATGACCATAACTGGTCTTTACCTTTAACATATTAAATTGGTTTTTCGACATTCAGACATTTTTTTTATGCTCTTTCGGAAAATGAAGACAAAGTTGAGAAATTCCCAAAATAGATTTTTGATGACGTCACACTTCACCACTCTATTATGATTAACATAAACTCTTTAATTGGTAAAGGTTATAGATTCATTTTTATAGCTTTATAATCATCACAACTAAAAAGGGAAAAATAAAAATTGCTTACATTTTTCTTCTGTTCATTATCATCTTCTTTATGTAACAACACTGCTTTCCTGGTTGGTATGGGTACTGTACTTGACAAACCAAAATGATAAATCTATCATTTCTTTTTAATGCTCTACTCTGTACTTGTGTGATGCGAGTTGCAAACCATTTTCACAATTTTGCACTTTCTTTTCCTTCTTTTTTCCATCCCTCTCTGGCTACTCTTGCTCCTTCCCCCTCCTTGTCATTTGCCTCACACTCCCTTTCCCTTTTCTCCTTCCCTCTTTCCCTGTACTCTCATTCTCCCTCTCCTGCCTTAACCCCCCTCTCCCTATCATTCCCCTCTCTAATTATTTCCCCATCACTCTCCACTCCATTCCCTTGCCTTTTACCTCCTTCCCCTTGCCTTTTACCTCCTTCCCTCCTTCCCCTCTGAATTTCCACTCCCTCTACTTTCCCTTATCACTTCTTTCCTTCCCTCTACTTTCCCTTTCCACTTCTTTCCTTTCCTCTACTTTCCCTTTCCACTTCTTTCCTTTCCACGTCTTTCCCTTTCTACGTCTTTCCGTTTCTACGTCTTTCCCTTTCCACATCTTTCCTTCCCTCTACTTCCCTTTTCCACTTCTCCTTCTCTCTCCTTTCCCTTTCCACTTCTAACCTTCCCTCTACTTTCCCTTTCAAATTCTTTCCTTTCCTCTACTTTCCCTTTCAACTTCTTTCCTTCCCTCTACTTTCCCCTTCCACTTCTAACCCTCCCTCTACTTTCCCTTTCAAATTCTTTCCTTCCCTCTACTTTCCCTTTCCACTTCTTTCCCTCCCTCTACTTTCCCTTTCAACTTCTTTCCTTCCCTCTACTTTCCCTTTCAAATTCTTTCCCTCCTTCTATTTCCCTTCCACTTCTTCCCTTCCCTCTACTTTCCCTTTCCACTTCTTTCCTTTCCTCTACTTTCCCTTTCCACTTCTTTCCTTCCCTCTACTTTCCCCTTCCACTTCTAACCCTCCCTCTACTTTCCCTTTCAAATTCTTTCCTTCCCTCTACTTTCCCTTTCCACTTCTTTCCCTCCCTCTACTTTCCCTTCCACTTCTTTCCTTCCCTCTACTTTCCCTTCCACTTCTGACCTTCCCTCTACTTTCCCTTTCCACTTCTTTCCCTCCCTCTACTTTCCCTTTCCACTTCTTTCCCTCCCTCTACTTTCCCTTTCAACTTCTTTCCTTCCCTCTACTTTCCCTTTCCACTTCTGACCTTCCCTCTACTTTCCCTTTCCACTTCTTTCCCTCCCTCTACTTTCCCTTCCACTTCTGACCTTCCCTCTACTTTCCCTTTCCACTTCTGACCTTCCCTCTACTTTCCCTTTCCACTTCTTTCCCTCCCTCTACTTTCCCTTTCCACTTCTTTCCCTCCCTCTACTTTCCCTTCCACTTCTGACCCTCCCTCTACTTTCCCTTTCAACTTCTTTCCTTCCCTCTACTTTCCCTTTCCGATTCTTTCCCTCCTTCTATTTCCCTTCCACTTCTTCCCTTCCCTCTACTTTCCCTTTCCACTTCTGACCTTCCCTCTACTTTCCCTTTCCACTTCTTTCCTTCCCTCTACTTTTCCTTTCCACATCTTTCCTTCCCTCTACTTTCCCTTCCACTTCTGACCTTCCCTCTACTTTCCCCTTCCACTTCTAACCTCCCCTCTACTTTCCCTTTCCACTTCTTTCCTTTCCTCTACTTTCCTTCCCTTTCCTCTACTTTCCTTCCCTCTCCTTCCCTATTGTTTGTTATCCTTGTTTGCTACATCCCATCCCCTTTCCCCTCCCTTTCGTTCTTCTTCTCCCCCTTCCCATCTTACACTTCCTTCCTCTATATTCATCTGCTCAGGAGAGACACATTCTCCATAAAAAGCTTGCCCTTTTCTTCACAAACCTGGTGGCATTTATCTCTGCTATGTACTTCTTCTTCAGACACAATTGGTACTGTGAACCAGGAGGTAAGATCAGTCAAAGGGGATCAAATATAAATTCTAAAAATAAATGTTCCTAAGAATGTTGGAAACTCTATTGACTTTTACATTCATATTGTTTTAGATAAAATTGTGTAAAGATCTGCATCATCTGCAAGAAGCAAAATGTGCCCAAAACACTTTTCCATTATCCCCAACCATTTCCCCTATTCATTCCAATATGTTTCCATTCAACCAGTTATCATGTACATGTCACTGAGTGGAGTAAATGGATTTCATCCATTCCTGTCGGTCAGGAAGGACAATGGTATCCCTGATCAAAAAGTGCGTTTCCATTCATACTCTGGTACAAATATTGTGTTGCTTACTTTATTATATGATAAGGGAGAGGATGCATGGTAAGATAGCCATTTCTTATCGTGAAAGTCACAGAAACTTCACTGGTTTGGGACTTGGGGTGATCATAAAATGTGGTTTAAGCTCCTACCAACCTTACAATTAACAGCACATTAGTCAGTTTGGTTTAACATTATTTGCCAATTTTTGAATTGTGGAAAAAGCGAGATATTCCTTCGCACATCATACAGTTTTCCCCTTTTTTTGTCCACACACCTGTATTTTATTTTGTTTTTATTGCCTCTGTTTTGAGTCGTTCTTGTTATAATGTACACAGTTTTCTAATCCCTCTTAATAGAATATCTCCTTGCTTCCAGTTGCATAGTCTGTGTATGTACAAGCTTTTCAGACGTAAATCGTTCTCTGCTCACATTTGCATTTATTTTTTACTAAGAAAAAAAATCATTTTGTCAGAATCACCATTTTTTAAACTTTATTTCTTCATGCTTTCTGTCTTTCGTTCGGTGACATCATCTAGGCGCCATTTTGTGAAATTGCATTATCAATCATATCTTCCTATCTAGCTAAAAATAGTTTACCACATTTGGCATGCATAAACTTCAGGTCCCCCTCCCCCCCCCCCCCCCCCCCCCCCAAAAAAAAAAAAAAATCAGTCTGGTTAACATTTCTGACTTCTTCTCTAAAATGCAAGGCCAGATACTAACCAAACTTGGTAGGGATCATCCTTAGGCAAGGATGATTGAAAGCTGTTCAAAAAGCAGCTCCCCAAAAGTAATTTGACATTTTCTTCTTCTTCTTGAAGCCCAAGGCTAGATTCTAACCAGAATTTGTACGAAAGGGATACCTGCTCCTGCAGGGGCATTGGAAGCAGCACCCCTAAATTGCCCAACTGTTCCAAAAAATCCTATGTTAACTGGTGAAAAGGGGATGGTAGTTCTAGCGAAATATTGACCTTGACATTTTATGTAAAAAAGCTATAGGGAAAGTCCTTCATTAAACTATGAGGGTAAACTACAGCTCCTCTTTCTGTGATTGAATGTCGATCGTATGCCAGATGCAGTTTGGCAATCGATTACTCATCATTTCAGATCTATTGCAGGGCCCTGTTTCTCTAAACCATCAAATGTGTAACTTCTTGACTAAATCAGTGCTAGTATTAAGCTACACATGTACTTGTCCGCTACGTGTTTCACATAGCCTATTTTTGCCAAGATCAAGGACAGCATCCTGACTATTATGATGCCTCCCACCCTGTCATAACTCTCTCGTAATTTGTTGAAGTCTATGCTTTTTTTTCTTGCTTTCAATCGCAGTATACAGCTTATTTGCTTGCTGTGAATATCTGGTAGTCATCACCAACATCATCTTTCACATCGTAGTATCGACTTACTTTGAAGATAGAGAGCTGAGACTTGGATGCAGGATAAACAGCAAGAAATGAACAGTAAGAACAAACTAGATAGGAAACATTTATAGAACCTTGTTACTATCTCTTTCAGAAACTACTGGGGAATTACCTTCTTCTAATATCACTGCTTAAAAAAAAAAAAAAAAAAAAAAGGGGGGATACATGGTGAACAATGAAGTGGGTCTAGAAAAATTACCTTGTTATAGCTAGAGTTTGGCAAGATATTAATCTATATTTGCTGCTCTCCATCAAGGTGAAGTAAATGGGTCCCTGGTAGTATTAAAAGAAATTCCTTGAATGCTTGAGTGCCTTATCATGGTAGCTTTAACACTGATGAGGTCTACCCTGAGTAATTAAAGAAGACATATAATTATTATATTATTATTATTTGTTATAATAGTTTTTTTTTCATTTTTCCATTGTATGCATTTCTTGTATTATGTTGATTGCAAACAAATTTCCAAGTTTGTTCATCCAAGTTCATCCATTATAATGAGTATCACTTAGTGCTGTAGTCAAACGTTTAACCGTCCGGTATCCGACCGCCCATAGCGGAATCTGTTTCCAATTGGACGGTTTCGTTTTCCCTTTTTTTTTTTTTAAGTTTCGATTTATGCCCCTACACCTGGCACTATGCCTGGCAATGTCTCCCAGCTCAGTAATATTTGTGTTGACTCACCACTCCGAATACTAGAACAACACTCCAATTTGTCTGTCATCTTGGTTTGAAAGTAATCTTTGTAATAGATCTCAATACCGGTATGTAGTTTATAATAATAATTCATCCAACTTTTACACACGGCGTACCACAAGGTTCTATCCTAGGTCCTCTAGTGTTTTTAATTTACATTAATGATCTTTCACATTCTTCTAAAAACAACATTGTTACTATTATTTGTGACAAGTTCACAAGCACAAATCTGTGCCTTCAAATGCACCTCGCAGTTAAATGAAAGTCCTTCCCGCTTTTTCACACGGACTTGGCTTTCTGCCGACAGAGTCGGTCCCCCCCCCCCAAAAAAAAAAAAAAAAAGTTTTTTATTTTTAAATAAATCGTTTAACCAAAAACCGTCTGGTTTTGACTGGCGGTTAAACGGAATGGGGATATCCGTGATGTTACAGCACTAGTATCACTTGTATTTTTCAGACAGGGGGGGGGGGGGGTGCTGGGGGAGGAGGAGAGAAAAGATTACCAGTAAAAGAAATACAGCCAGTGCTACCCATATTTCAATTATTTTCTTCTCTTCCTGCCATTTGTAGACGAGGTCATGTTCGGTTCAGTTCATTTAAATAGAAGACATGAGTACCGTTACTCCCACTTGGCTGTTATCATAACTGTTCTTGATGATATGCATTTCTTGTTGTCAGAACAAAATGGCCTTAAAGACTGTCTGCACTAGTTTGACCAGGAGGGATTAGACATCCGTGCATGGTCACTAACAGGTTGTTATCTCATCAAATCAGCTCTCAATTAACATAAGAAAAAGGGGACCATGGGGGACCAATAGTCACCAATTGGGCATTGTTTGATAAAAAGAACAGTGGGGCTTTAAGTGAAAACATCAACATCATCAAGGGGATGACTTGATTCCTGCATTTTGTTTCTGGTTTTGGTCAAACACATTATCTAGAGGGTTTGGTTGATTTACATGTATATCCAAACTTGGACTTTAAAAGAATTACTTTTCATAGTGTAACGTACGAAAGTATGCACAGTGTAATGTTGTAAAGAGAGCCAACCTCTTTTAACATTTTAAATGATAAATATTCTCTATTATTATGCAGTGACATGTAAACACAGATGTAATTTTCTGACATTGATATTTCATTGTTTTCCCACCACAGCTTAAATGTGACTCTTCAAACATCGATGTCCACGCCCCAATATAACATCAGGAAAGCAGCAAGATGATGGCAGCTGAACACAAAGTTAAGAAAATTTGGTAACCAGTTTAGTTCGGAAATAGCTCAAATTTCTGGTGAAATGTGTCAGTAGACTTTAATGATGATAATATCAGGTATGCACATATGCAAGGGTTGTGGAGGGATGGATATTTGCGCTGAAACTACATGTAGATTACAAAAATTATGTTATTTATTGCCTCATATCTCATTCAGGCATGTGGTAGTGAACGGCTATTTAAAAAAAATACCACATAAATTAAACAAGAAAAGTAATGTGCTTTACGTTTCTGTATCTTACAACTCTCAGATCAGTGATTCAGTTTTCCTTCATCATTCATTAGGCCTGAAATAAAAACTTGTTGTATTGCCCTTTGCGACCGACCCAAAAATCTGAAAATCTATAGTTGGCATTTTTTTTTTTTTTTTTTTTTTAACCGTTTTTTTTAAGATTTATTTTTAATTAATGAATACAAAATATGTATTTTGTTTGTTTAAATGGGATATAAATGCATAAAATCAATTTATTGCTAAATTCTCACTCGTGCGAACCAAGGATGATTATGAGGTGAAAAAAAAATCAATGGAATGATGACGTTGAAACACATGTATTAAAGCATTAAAAACTGAGAAAATCAGCCAAAAGAGGGCGGAAAAAAAAGAAGAAACAAAAAAACATTCAAATCTGAAAACTATCGGCCCAAAGAGGGCGTCAAAAAAAAAAACTTTCCGACCGACCGACCCATGTTTTGGCACCCAAAGGGCAATACAACAAGCTTTTATTTTAGGCCTTAGGGGCGTACATTGCCTCTTGCCATTTATTCATATACAAAGTTTTTCTTGTTGTTTATCATTTCAAGTGTGAATGGACCTGTTTACTACTTTTATGCATACTTTTTAACAAAACTCTTTCTTGATAACTAAAATGGTTGCCAAAAGCCTGCCCAACATAGCAACAAATATTGTATGCACTATGCAAAGTGGATTTATCCCTAGAGATTCCATGATGGTTTATAACTAGGTGTTCGGGAGAGCAGCACACAGTAAATTAAAATATGTATTCATTAGTGAACAGGTTCGTTTTATCTACAGAGTTGATTATTAGAAATGGTTGATCCAAATTAGGTATCTGCATGTTTACTGTTTAGAATGTATTGATAGTTACATCAGGTAGAAAGAAGTGTTAATGTAGTCATATTTGGTCCTAGACTTTAATAAAGATGAATTGCTGAGGCTGATACAGAGGCTAATGAGGAATATAGAGGTACATGTAGAGAGAGAGAGAGAGAGAGAGAGAGAGAGAGAGAGAGAGAGAGAGAGGGAATAGAAATGATAACCTTCCTACAAACTAGTATTGATGAGCACTTAAAATACATACGTTAGATTATATTTTATTCATACAGGTAAATATGTATATGCTATTTATGTGCTATGCAGTGTGCTAATGTGCTATGTTTTATAGCTTTAGATTTTAAGAGTGAGTATTTGGTTATGCCAAGTGTTTTGTTAAATAAAATGATGTGTCATTAAAATAATGTAGTGAGGTAGTACTTGACTGTTCCAAATAAAGGTATTTGGTGTATGTTCAAGCATGCATTATTCAAGAATGATGCATGAAATAATGATAATAACAGTAATAATTATAACAATAATGATAATAATAATGAGAATTTTGTTATGGGTGTCACTTGCCTAAAGATCTAATTATTATATCTTTAAAAGATTTTAAAAATTCCATTTAAAAAAAAAAAGATTTGTGGTTTGAAGGGTATATTGAGACCTTTTCTGGGGGGGGGGGGGGTTGGGTGCTAATGTGGTGCCATACACTATCTTTCATTTTCTTTTTAATATTTTAAGACCTGTGCAGTTATTAACATGCACCATTTCATGGAGTTTCAGACTAGCAGACTTGGAGAGGTCGATGGTGTCACAGCTTCACTTCATGCAAAGCCATATCTAAATTCATGTTGGACCCAATGACAGTTTAACAATTCAAGTACGTTATGTAAAATACACATAGACTGGCTTGTTCATGGGTTGAGTATCTGGTAGTTTTTTTGCCAGAATAATTTTTTTTTTTTAAAGGTTAATCTGAAATAATTATTTTAAACCTCCAAGTGTAATAAGTGTACATGCATCCAAGTGTAAGGTAATGTTTGCTAATGGATGCTTTTATATGTTTATTTTAGTCCATTGTGGAGATTTAAACTGTGATGCATAAGATCATATTTCAGATCTGCTCCTCATTTGTGAATCTAGAACAATGTATGTAGAGTCATTTTGCCACAAACTACACTGATCCAGGGACCTGTAAATTGTAAATATATAATAAGCCTGGAGGGGTTGTAAAATCTTATGTCCTTCTTCAACTTATAGGTCCATGCTACATCCAAGACTTAATGTATACAGTGAAGCTGTGATGGCATCCAACTCTTTCCTAATTATGTTTGCTTAAAAAATGAAAAAAATGTACCAAGATAACTGCACATTTTAAAAGCATCAACCCTTTGACTTTTGGGCCCTGTAACATAAAAATCAACTTGAATCAAAAGTTAATCAACTTAAATCATCAAATGTGACAAATCTTTTGTGTCTTCAATCTAGCTGCAAATAATTGTTTCTTTTCCATGTATTGTTTCTATCTGTAATATAATAAGTTAGTATTTATTGTAAACTTATGACTGATTGAACTTATTGAAGGAGTTACAATTAATTTGAAGGAGGAAACAATTAATTTTGAGGAGAGACTACTAATTGTAACTATTTATATTACAGGACCCTCTTGGTCCCATATTATACAAGATAAAAACCACTTGCTTTCAGGAGGCAAAGGCTTAACGTCTAGCAATGGTAGTCATTGTACATGACAATGAATTTAAGCAAAATATAAAAAAGGATCTGACTTTCTTTAAGTTTTATTGCATCAGTGTTCTTGCCAAGGCAATTGTAGTTCTTAATCATGAACTCAAATGTGGACTTCCTGTGCAATAGTGACATTAACTCAGTGTGCAATTTTTAGATTGTGATATTCTTGCAGATTATTTCTAATTCAATATGTAATTGAAAGTTTGTAAAATTAGTATTTGTAGAGAGAGAGAGAGAGAGAGAGTAGTGGATTTAATCGACTTTCATGATAATGCTATTTACAAGTACACATGTATTTTGTGCTTGTTTCCGGTATCATGACTTCATAATATCTCAATATTATATACATGTACCACTCATACCTTAATTGTTAGTCTTATGGCAACTATCCAGATTTTCAAGTATGCATTTTTAATTATATGTGAAGACGAAAAAGCTGGTGCCATACTTATTGTGAAAGTAATTGTATAAAGCTCATTATATACCATATACCAGCTGAATTTTAAAATTGCTTTAGTCAGACTCACACAGTTCTAGTGATTACATAATCACCCATTGGTGCTAGTGTATGATAGTTTACCAGTTTAACGGTCCATTCATGTACCTTCATAATTTTGGGGTCACTCGCATTACACAATATAGTCAATTACATAATCACCCCATTGTAGCTATTGTATGCTTCACCTAAAATGTAGATGTATATATGTATGAATACAAAATACATGTACATACATGATTTCTATGAAACCACGACTAACGTGACCACGTACAGTGTATGGTGTAGGTAGACTTCAGAAAATTATTGGTGTAGAGAAGAGGTTGACATTGATGTATACATTTAAGATTGGGCTAGCTCAGATTTAGATGAGTGGTCTTTGAAATAGATGAATCAAGATTATATGAATCAGGATTTGTTGAAATTGAAGTATAATACGTAGCTTAGAAACCACATTCCACCTACCGGTAGTACTACCTGTGTAAAGAGGTCACTTGTAAGGTGACCTGGCTATCCAAAATAGATCATTCAAAGGCTGGATGATTCACTTGGCAGCACCAAAAGACACCCCCCCCCCTACCTTCCCTATTTTTGTATATATTTTTTTTTAGCCATTATATTACTTTTGCTGTATGCAGTCTAATTGTAACATGTATCACATTGCAAAGAATTTTGAGAAACCTGTCCAAAATTTCTATTTTACATTTCATTTTTTTTTAAAGAAAGTTTTGTAATTCTTCATTAACTTGTCAAAGAATGTTTTGAAAAAAGGGGGGAATTCTTTAAAAATCAGGAAAATTATCAATAATTAGCAAAGGCAAAATATCTTGTTATTCAAGAATATTATTAGCAATTCTATTGCTACTGACCTGTATTGCTACATCACCTGTCACCTTTCTGACTGATATTTCACTCGTTGGTGCCCACTCTATTTCTCATTCAACTATGCATTGCTTTAATATGCATTACAAATTATGCATAGGAGATGAATGTTCATCTTAAAATTCCAATTTTAACTAACTTAGAAAACTTTTTTCTTTCAATATTTATCCTAAATCAGCTATGGAAGATGATTGTTAATTTGGAATGTATAGGATATACATGTACCTCTTGCAGTGTGTGTTATATTTAGTTTCCTGGTACCCATATGTTATCACCTTGTCAGTATTATATAACCACTTTATTTGATGTGTAAATATTGGTAAATGTAAATTTGCTTGACATGAGTTATGATCTGTACATCATGGGCCGGTCATACCTCACAAATAATCATTATTTTTCACTGCAGATACACCCTACTGCTGCTTTTGTACAGTGCGTCCCAGAAAGAAAGAAAAAAACAACAACAGAAAACAAACAGAGATTGTGAACAAACTATGAATTGTATCAATATGATTCCTTGCTTTTCATAAAGTAGAACTAATATGCTTTCAAATTATATATTGATCACTTTAATCCATACATGCTTCACATTAATGGACCTGCAATTGTTATGAACATTTATTTTAGAATTTTCAGAAATGCAACTAATTCAAAGAGCAAGGGTGGGAGACAGATGATTTCTATAAGAATTAAAGTAAGGGGCACCATACATTTTGATAATAGGGCAGTGTATGGTCCGATGGGTACCTAAGGCAAAAAATAAACCATCTAAATGTAATTTTCCTCTCTGGATGGGCGCTATTTTCAGTCAATAAAAGGACACTTTCTTCATCACCAGAGGGCTAATTATTGATTTGGGAAGAACTGAGGTCGTGCACCCATGTCATCCCAGAAAGGGGTATTCATAATGATAATAATGAATAATAAAGACTATTTGTAAAGTGCCATATCCATTTCACAGAAATGCTCAAGGCGCTGAGAGTAACTGTTTATACATGAAAAATGTGAACACTAATTAGATGTTAATTACACTTACTAGTACATAAACAATATGATTAAGAGCATGTATGGATATTGATCCAAACATGCATTAGCAATCACAGTATCATTTGAAACCATATTAATTCTATTTTATGAAAAGCAAGAAATTCTATTTATAGAGCTCATAGTTTTTT